AACTCTGAGAAGTTTGATCGACTGAAGTCTTCTTCTCTTAACTCGTCAAAGTCATTCTCTGTCCAGCTTTGTTCCGTTGCTGGCGATGAGCTGCCTTCTTTTGGAGGGGGAGATACGCTGAGACTTTTTGAATTTCCAGCTTTTCTGCCCTGCTTTTTCCCCATCTTTGTGGTTTTATCTGCCTTTGGTCTTTGATGATGGTGACGTACTGATGGGATTTTGGTGTGGGTGTCCTTTCTATTTGTTAGTTTTCCTTCTAACAGTCAGGACCCTCAGCTGTAGGTCTGTTGGAGATTGCTTGAGGTCCACTCCAGACCCTGTTTGCCTGGGTGTCAGCAGCAGAGGCTCCAGAAGATAGAATATTGCTGCACAGTGAGTGTTGCTTTCTGATTCTTGCTCTGGAAGCTTTGTCTCAGAGGTGTACCCAGCCATGTGAGGTGTGAGGTGTGAGGTCTGAGGTGTGAGGTGTTGGTCTGCACCTAGTTGGGAATGTCTCCCAATTAGGCTACTCAGGGGTCAGGGACCCACTTGAGCAGGCAGTCTGTCCATTCAGCCTCCATGCTGGGAGATCCACTGCTGTCTTCAAAGCTCTCAGACAGGGGCATTTACCTCTGTCGAGGTTTATGCTGCTTTTTGTTTAGCTATGCCCTTTCCCCAGAGGAGGAGTCTACAGAGGCAGGCTGGCCTCCTTGAGCTGCAGTGGGCTCCACCCAATTCGAGCTTCCCGGTGACTTTGTTTACCCACTGAAGCCTCAGCAATGGCGGGCGCCCCTCCTCCAGCCTCGCTGCCACCTTGCAGTTAGATCTCAGACTGCTGTGCTAGCCATGATGGAGGCTCCGTGGGCATGGGACCTTCCGGGCCAGGTGTGGGATATAATCTCCTGGTGTGCTGTTTGCTAAGACCCTTGGTAAAGCACAGTATTAGGGTGGGAGTTACCCGATTTTCCAGGTGTTGTGTGTCTCAGTTTCCTTTGGCTAGGAAAAGGGATTCCCTTCTCCCTTGTGCTTCCCAGGTGAGGCGATGCTTCACCCTGCTTCAGCTCTTACTGGTTGGGCTGCACCAGCTGACCAGCACCAATTGTCCGGCACTCCCCAAATGAACCCGGTACCTCAGTTGAAAATGCAGAAATCACCCATCTTCTGTGTCTCTCACGCTGGGAGCTGGAGGCTGGAGCTCTTCCTATTTGGCCATCTTAGGCATGCCCTCCCACCCACCGTGTGTTTTTGAGAGTTTCTGTAAGATGAATCAGGTTTATTCTGTTTTTCATATTGTGGCTGATAATTGAGGTTTTTCTATGTCCTGAGTTACTGCTTGTTATTTTGATTTCCAGGTTCTAAAATTTTATTACCACATCATTTCCATTCTCCTTGTCTTTGGTGGTTTTATTGCCTACTGGAAAATTCTTTTACTTTTGAGTTTTAGTATTTATGGAGGGAGCAGTGAATGTATATGTTCAGTCTGCCATGTTTAACTAGAGGTCTTCATGAATAACAACTGTTTTTAAAATTTGGAAGACTAATTCTTTGTCATGAGTTCCAAGACTTCTTTTTATTGTCTACCACTTAACCCTATTTAAGTTTTTTTTTTTTTTTTTTTGTATATAGGTATTATTAATTTACATGTAGTCAGATTTTTCCCAATCATTATCTTTATGAGATTTGGGTTCTTTTTTTTTTTTTTTGAGATGGAGTCTCACTCTGCTGCCCACAAGTTGGAAGCACGGTGTGGAGTTTTCCTGCTCACTGCAAACCCTCCACCGGGTCCCAGGTTTCCAAGTGATTCTCCCTGCCTCAGCCTACAGGAGTAACTGGAGTATAGTTGTGTGTGCCCAACCGTGTGCTCGGGCTAATTTTTGTATTTTTAAGTAAGAGATTGAGTTTTCGCCATGTTGTCCCAGGCCTGGTCCTCGAATTCCTTGACCTCAAAGTGGATCGCCACTCAACTTGCCCGCCAAACCTGCTCTTGCGGATTACAGGTCATGAACACCACTTGCATCTGGCCCCCTTCCTTCCTTCCTCCTTCCTCCTGTCCTTCCTTCTCTCCCTCACCTCCTGCCCTCTCCTTCTCTCCTTCCTTCCTTCCTTCCTTCCTTCCTTCTTCCTTATCTCTCTCTCTCTCTTTCTTTCCTCTTGCTTCTTCCTTCCTTCCTTCTTCTTCTTCTTCTTTCCTTCCTTCCTTTTCCTTCTTCCTGTCCTTCCTTCTTCTTCCTTGTCTTCCTTTTCTTCCTTACCGTTCCTTCCTTCCTGTGCCTTCCCTTCTTTCTCTCTCTCTCTCTTTCTTTTTCTCTCTTTCTTTCTTTTAATATTAAAGAAAGTCTCCCTCACATTTGAAGTTAAACAGAGAAGGCATAAAATATTAGATTTTCTTCTGAATCTTCTTTGTCCAGTTAAAACTATAGATTCTGATTATTTATATTAATGGAAGACTGAAATAATCTCAAATGTTCAATAAGAGGCTAGTTGATTGAATTATGTTTAGACAATGGAGCAGTGAGCTGTCTGTGAAAGGGAATCTTTTTGTGTGTTTCTGTAGAGTTATTTTCAGGATATGTTGTTAAGTGAGTAAAGGAAAACAGAAGAATGTTAATGGAATGCTACCTTTTGTATGGTACAAAGAAATATGAATGATCATATTTGTTTGTGTTTTTAAAAGAGACTGATGAATGGGCAAAGTGAAAACTAATGAAAATGGTTAATATTAGGAGAGGGGAGAGAAAAATGTGGAGAAACAGATATGGAAACAAGATATCTAGGATTATACCTTAATTATACCTAGGTTTGACTTTGGACTCATCTTGTTGTTTATGTACTAAATGTAAAAAAAAAAAAAAAAAAAATGAAGCCACAATATTTAAAAGCTACAAACAAAGGTATCAGTAAATTTAGATATCAATCAAGTTAGTGACATATTCATGCAGAGAAAAGAATTACTTCAAATAATCTAATTTTGATTGATAATTTCCAGTGGGATATATTCTAAGGTGAAAAACATCCTCAAAGTAATCTTAAACTGCATTTAGTATATGTTTAGAAGTAATATTGCTGTTTTGAAATTGTTATACATAATTATAGCAAATAAGTAATTATAGTAATGTTATAAGGAACTAAGATTTTCAATATAAGAGAAAAAGATAAAAGTATAAAGTTAAATAGGAAACCTGAATCTTCATAATAAAAATAAAATTATGAACTTTTTTTTTTTCTTAAGTTATATTTTTCCCAGCACTATCAGTGGAATAGTAGCAACTGCTTCACTGTGAGCTATTATCTGCGTTGTCTAAATATCTTTTTGTTCTAAGAAGAGACAGGAGTGGCTGATTCTGGGTCTGGGCCAGGAAGTGTGGAGGATGATCCTGGGATATCTTACCGTTTTAGAAGCCATCTAAGACCAATGGGATAGTGTCAAAAGGACCCCAGAGCCAACCAGAAGGGGCCTCCTACTGGCTTAAGATGGACAATTTGAGAATCAGAAAAATAATGACTACAATGATTGACATACATAAAGTATATAAAAAATACATGCGTTTGAAAAGGCACTGAAATAGAAAACAAACAAAAAATAAACTTTATCAGTTACCTGCTGAAATTGCTAGGACACCAACTTATTAGTATGCAAATTGATAAAAAGAAAATTTAAGCATTTTTTCTAGCCTTTTCTGTACAAACTGTATTTTAGTGTAACTAAAACATTAATGAGGAAAAGTTCTTCACAGAAGAATTCTAGCTAATAAATGCAAGATAAATGATATAATCAGAAAAATCATAATTTGATAATCCTTAATGAAATAGTAGATGTAGGAAATGATCATTAATGAATGCTAAATCATTAGGTGAAAGGTTGATGGGGAGGACTACATACTAGAGAGGTCAGGATGATACCATCTGACCAATGATCTTTAGCACCACTAAAATTGGGACATCCAGATAGTGCTTCATCCAATAGGAGGTAGACAGTGGCAACCAACTATGAAGTTATTTTACCAAGGAAAAAAAAGGAAAGGAAACAAAAGAAATTAAACTTAAATCTTAATAATCTTCTAGATCTAATGATCACTTTATAGGATATATGGAGAACTGGAGAAAAAAGTTAAATGACACCATGGTAAAGCATGGTAAAGCAGTTATCCAAATAAACATGACTGTTTTCCCAACAAATCAGTGGCATGGGGGAAAATATTAGGACCTGTAACTACAATAATCTAATGCACACCATTGAACTTGTGTAAATTCTGAGCATTTATTAAGTACTTATCTATTATTATTATCTATTATTACTTTTAAAAGTGTCTCAGCTGGCCGCACACCTGTATCTCAGCACTTTGGGAGGCCGAGGCAGGTGGATCACCTGAGGTCAGGAGTTCAAGACCAGCTTGGCCAATATGGTGAAACCTGGCCAATATAGTGAAATCCTGTCTCTACTAAAAAAGTACAAAAATTAGCCAGGCATGGTGGCATGTACGTGTAATCCCAGCTACTCAGGAGGCTGAGGCAGGAGAATTGCTTGAACCCGGAGGGCGGAGTGAGCCAAGACCGCGCCATTGCACTCCAGTCTGGGTGACAGAGCGAGACTCCATCTCAAAAAAAAAAAAAAGTTTCTCAGCCTTTGATATAGGCGAACTAAGTCCTGTTAATGGGATGGGGAATGTGTCAGTAAGTGCTAGGAATGGAGTGTTTAGGATTATGTTTTCACTATAGAATTGACAGTACTTATCTACATAGCCATGGTCTCAGTGCGTCCATAATCTTTTAATTGTAAAGTTTTGCTGCTTTTTCCCTGTCTCTATATTTTTTCCTTCCATCCCACCGAAATTGTTCTCATTGCTAGACATCTGCACATGGGTGGGAACATGAATATTGACATATCTGAGAAAAGTTAGAGGAGGACTAAAAGGGATCCAAGCAAATGAAGAGTTTTTGTGACAAGACTAGGCTTTTTGGTATAGCTTTATGAAGTCAAGATTAATATAACTTTGGAATCACTTTCAGGTATCATCTTTTAGTTCTACAGGTGCTCATATAATTGCCCAGTTTTCGAAAAAACTTCTTGATGAAGATATTTCTATATTTTCTGGATCACAAATGTTGCCTGTGGTTAAAGGAGCTTTTATTTCTGTGTGTCGTCAGATATATAGTACATGTGAAGGCTTGCAGGTGTTAATCACTTACAATTTGCATGAATCTATAGCAAAGGCATGGAAAAAGGTAAGTATTTTCAAGCTTCGTTTTTCCTCCCTGCAAATCTTTATTTCAAATGTAAGCACCATTCTAGTGTTGTACTTTGGATGAAATAGTTAACTGGGCAAATATGAGTTCTTTAGCATCACAGTACTCTAGGGAAGATAATGCATCTTAATTTGGCACAGGATGACTGCAGTATCTCCTTTCCCAGTGGGACAAAGTTCTAAGACTTAAATGGGTACTGCAGATTCTTTTCTTCTCCTAGATAAGGCTTTAGGTTAATTTTCCTTACATAGACTAACACTCTTTGGGAGTTATTTTAAAGTAATTTTTAGAGACAGCTGGGTTTTCATTGTGGATACTAGAGATTGTAATGTAGCAATAGCCATATATGTGTATATCAATGGACAACTAAGTCTTTTACCCCCATTTAATATGGTTTATTTGTAAAATATGTCACATAATATTTAATTAACAACCAGATAATTTAAAATTTGAAGATAACTTTGATTTTAATAACATTAAGGGTAAAACAAAGATGCAGCATAGGAAATCTTATGGGTAGTGCTATCAGTAAGAAAAATAATATAAATTATTCTGCTATTTTTTTAGACAAGTTTGCTATCAGAAAGAATTCCTACTCCAGTAGAGGGTTCTGATTCTGTTTCTTCAGTAAGCCAGGAATCCCAAAACGTGTAAGTACAATTGATGAAAGTCATCTATTTATTATATTTACTGAAATAAATTGAAAATTTATTAAAATGTAATAGAATACTATGGCAAAAATGTTTTACTGGATGGTAAGTGTATATATACAGGTTCAAGGAAAATTAGTTTGGAAGAACTTTAGAGATCATACAATACTCATAGCCTTTTAAAAATCTAACAATATTTATTATACTTGTTTCATTCTGGTTTTACATCTTAGATTAGGAAAAGTGACTTATTATCATGTTTCCAGAAAATTTGGAGAATTACTAAATACTAAAGTTGGAAAGTTAACTGGAGAGTTCAGTAGAAATAATATTTTCTCAAGTACCAATGAAGTGTATTTATATTTAAAATATGATTTTTCTAAATGTGTTGGGAGTGCATTTCAATTAGGTTTTGACTTTGGAAAATTATTAAAATCAATATTTATATAAAATTTTAATGTAGATGTCTCCATGTTCCTTTACAGATATCAGTAGGATATAGAGTCAGATTAATAGGGAAAATAGATTTTTTGAACTAAACTCTGGCAACATATTTTTCTGGGTTCTGTCCTTATTTTTTAATCGAGTATTGGCATAGTCTAAAATGCTAATTAGGGAGAACTTGAAGGGCTATTCTTTGTTAAAGAGATGTTGAAGTGGAATTTGAATTTTTTTTAAGGTAGGTGTAGTTTAGCTTACAAAACAATCAAACAAAAAGCCTTCTGCATTTCCTTAACAGTGTAATGGTTCAACAAATAGTTAATTCCCTAAACATTTGCTATAATTTATTTTCTAATATAGTTATCACACAATTAGCTGCTTTTTTTTTTTTTTTGCATTAAAGGGTGAGAAAAAACATTTCTATAGTTTATTTTTGAGATAATTTTTACATCTCATTTTTTAATCATTAATTTTCATTTTTAATTTCAATAGTTATTATTTCAATTTTTATTTCAATAGTTTTCAGGGTACAGGTGCTTTTGATGATACATTCTTCAGTGCTGATTTCTGAGCTTTTTGTGCATCCATCACTCATGCAGTATACACTGTACCCAATATGTCATTTTTTATCCCTTACCCCCCTTCCAAATTTTCCTCCTGTACCCCCAAAGTCCATTATATCATGCTTATGCCTTTGCATCCTCAGAGCTTAGCTCCCACTTATAAGTGAAAACATATGATATTTGTTTTTTTATTTCTGAGTCACTTAACTTAGAAAAATGGCCTCCAGCTCCATCAAGCTTGGTGCAAAAGACATTATTTCCTTTTTTTTAAATGACCAAGTAGAATTCCATGGCATATATGTACCACAATTTCTTTATTCACATATTGGTTGATGGGCACTTAGATTGGTTTCATATCTTTGCAATTGTGAATTGTGCTCCTATTAACATGCTTTTGCCTGTGGCTTTTTCATGTAATGACTTCTTTTCCTTTGGGTAGATACCCAGCAGTGGGATTGCTGAATCAAATGGTAGTTCTACTTTTAGTTCTTTAAGGAATCTCCATATTGTTTTCATTAGTGGTTGTGCTAGTTTACGTTCCCACCAGCAGTGTAAAAGAGTCCCAACACATACATACCAACATCTATTATTTTTTTGACTTTTTAATTATGGCCTTTTTTTCTTGCAGGAGTAAGTGGTTTTAATTTGCATTTCCCTGATGATTAGTGATGTTGAACATTGTTTTTTCAACTGCTTGTCAGCTGTTTGTATGTTTTGAGAATTGTTTCTTCATGTCCTTTGTCCACTTTTAAATGAGATTATTTGTTTTTTCTTCTTGCTGATTTCTTTGACTTCTTTGTAGATTCTGGAAATTAGTCCTTTGTTAGACATTGCATAGTTTGTGAATATTTTCTCCCACTCTGGGTTGTGGTGACTCTACTTACTTCTTTTGCCTTGCAGAAGCTTTTTAGTTTCATTATGTCCCATTTATTTATTTTTGTTTTTGTTGAAATTGCTTTTGGGGTCTTAGTCATGAATTGCATAAGCTAATGCCAGATGAGTTTTTCCAATGTTATCTTCAAGAATTTTTATGGGGAGTTGAGGTTCGGAGAATTCACGCACAGCAGAATATTAATAGGAAAATAGAATGAAATTAGTATGTAGATGAGAGAACCTAGGCATAATAAAAATGCTGACATATGCAGTTAACATTTTTTTAATTCAGTGAAGAGAACTTATAGGTATAGAAAATGTAGGAATAAAAGAATTCACTACCAAAGAAACCATGTTTTTATTTAATTTTAAAGCTTTATTGATTAGTTTGCAGCCCATATGTACTGTGTAGCTTTAATTGTAAACAGGGTTAAGCTCAGCTAAGACATAGTCTTTGTTTTCAGTTTTAATATCTTAAAAAAAGCTCTACCTTTCTTTTACCTATTTCAGTATGGCTTGGGAAGATAATTTGCTAGATGATTTACTACATTTTGCTGCCACCCCCAAAGGATTACTACTTCTTCAAAGAACAGGTGCTATCAATGAATGTATGACATTTATGTTCAACCGATATGCAAAAAAATTACAGGTATGAATTACCATCTGCCACAGGCAAAGGGAGTTTTTGTAGTTGCAAAAGCCATTGAGAGCATCATTCTGTTTTCTGTGTATGAAGAAGTTATTAAGCCTCAATTAAAAAACCATATAGCATTGTAATAGTCAACTTGATTTTTTTTTTTTTTTAGGAAAACATTAGAGAGTTGATATTAGTGTCTGTGGCTGTATTTACAGAATTGCAAATAACCAGATGGAATTGAAGAATGCAGTTAATTATCATATGTTTTATAATTATGATATCAAACATCTGCATGTAGTGAAACTGGGTGGTTTTCCTAGAGAAAGAAACCGATTGAGTCTAAATACATATGTCAGTGAAGGTTTAGGCCTCACATTTTAAAGGAAACAAAAATATTTGTAGAGACGTTCTATTATTCTACTATTAAATAAATTTACAATGTATTTTAGTCTTTACTCAAACAGTAAAAGGCCAAAGGTCACTGGGTTGTAATCAGCTTTTTTTCTGTCATACTAAATATCCCTAGAGTTTTGGGCTTTTTAAGATTTTAGGTATGATTTTAAAATATTTTTCAGAGTTTGTTTTTGCAATTCTTACCATCTTGAAGGAATGTCTAGTTAGCATGCCATGTTTTCTTGCTTCTCATTGCTGTTCCATATTTATGTTGTTAGGTCAGCAGGCATAAAAAATTTGGCTATGGAGTTTTGGTTACACAAGTGGCATCAACAGCAGCAGGTGGTGTTGCACTAAAAAAGTCAGGTAAATGTTTCTTTTCATTAGAATTATATTTATTTTAAACATAAAATGAACAAGCCAACTGAAAATGTAACTGGCACAATCAAGTATCAGGATATTTACTCTAAAATTCTTTTTACTAAGTTAGACCTTATGTAAAAGAAAGTTACAGGATTTTCTTTTTGTCTTTCTTCTTCCATCAAATTCCAATAGTTTTGTGTTTCTGTGAAATGTATACCACCTTGTTCTCTTGCCTTGAACCAAAGGCAAATAATGAACTCAGGAGAAACGTACTTAATGCTTTAAGAATCTTCCTTCATCTTATAAATCAGAAGAATATCATCTTCTCTCAGTACAGTCCCATCTGATAGGATTATCTAATGCTCATTGTCAGTGGCTTATATATGCTTTAAAGTTTACACTCATTTACATAAAATTTCCTAATTCCCTTGCTCCCTCTTTTCTTCTTGAAATCATTTGTCTCACCACTTAGCTTTCACATTATCTTTGAAGTTGGCAGTAAGTATATATTCTTCCCTGTCCATTTGATTTGTAAGAAGTTAAAACATTGGAAATTTAATATGTCTTTTTTTTTCTTTTTTTTTTAATGAGACAGAGAATTTCACTTTTGTTGCCCAGGCTGGAGTGCAATGGCACAGTCTCAGCTCACTGCAACCTCCGCCTCCTGGGTTCCAGTGATTCTCCTGCCTCAGCCTCCTAAGTAGCTGAGATTACAGGCACCCACCACCATGCCTGGCTAATTTTTGTATTTTTGGTAGAGATGGGGTTTCACTGTGTTGGCCAGGCTGGTCTTGAACTCTGACCTCAGGTGATTCGCCCGCCTTGGCCTCCCGAAGTGCTGGGATTACAGGTGTGAACCACCACACCCAGCCAATATGTCTTATATTAAGGTTATCTGAGCTCTGAACAAGATATAATCCCTGATAGAGATGCTATGACAATATTGTTTTCAAGGCTTAGAGTTGAATTATAACATGAGTGATCACTACTGATTCTCTCTTTAAATACAAATACTTTTCCTATAGTATATTTTAAATTTGTTTTTTGGCCTAACTAATCTGGACTACTTGTATTATGAAACATGTTTCCTGTTAAAAAAAAAAAAAAAATTGTCCTAAACTGAACCACTAATTTTTTTCTTCTACTTAGAATAAAATTCATGTAGTGTAGTATTCAGAGCACATTAACTGAAGTGTTTGGAGACTAAATTTAATCTCAGATCTCACCCTTGGTAAAGTCATTAAGCTTCTGAGCATGACAGTCCCAAACTTTTCATGAGAGGAGTAAGTGTAGTTTTCAAAGTACAGGAGGAAGACGACAGTTTTTTGAACTTCTCCAATGTCTTAGGTACTATATTAGGAACTTCACATGTATTGTCCTATTGATACTTCATGGCAACAGTGGAATATGGCATCATTATTTCAATTTTCAAATGGGACAACTAAGGCTCCAGGAAGTCATGGGATTTTTGCAAGGATGAACAGCTAATAAACTGGCATATTTGGAATTTAAACTCTAATATTCTCAGTTTTAGAGCCCATATTTTTTCTCTCATACCAGAAGACCCTTTCTGATCTAATATTGTTGTTATGAACTTCCTTATTTTATGATTAAATGTGGTATTTTACACTTTTCCAGATGATTTTTCTACTTGATTTTTTAATAGACTAATTTGATAATTGGGTTTTATATTCATTTTCGTTTAGTTGTATAGTATGACTCATAAGAATTTAAAGACTGGGTTGAAGCAAAAGTTGTATGAAATGTAGAATCATTCTTAGTGTGTGTAATTACAAAAAAAATTAGTTACATTGGAATAAGGGAGCATACACTCTTTGGATGCCTACCCGGCCTCCTGTTACCTCTTTCTCTCCCCTCACCTCTAAAAAACACAACCTGATTTCAGACTGCCTTACTTTGCTGGCTGATTTGCAGAGCAAAGTATAAACCTGTTTATGTTTCAGAAAACATGCTCAGAGAAGTTACTGGCCAAAGTGAAGAAGCTGGGACTCAAAATTCAGCAGTCTTCCAGGGAAATAGTCTCTCAGAATTTAGTTATTACAGAGTTTTATGATAATGAAATATCATAAAAGTATATTAACAATAGCAGATATAATTTCTACCAAGAAGAGATTATTTCTTATATAAGATGCAAGTATGTGTCTTCTGTCAAAGTAGACCAGATTTGTCAGTGGGATCATCATATCTTTCCTTCATAATCCAAAGAAATATTATGCTATAAATGACTTGAAGTAATAATTCTTTTTAGGGTTTATTAATGAACTTATAACTGAATTATGGTCCAATCTGGAATATGGAAGAGATGATGTTAGGGTAACCCATCCCAGAACTACTCCAGTGGATCCTATTGACCGAAGCTGTCAAAAGGTAAGAAGTTATTTGACTAATAATACACAGATTTGAGAAGTATTTCACAGAAATGAATTCATTCATACTTTATCCATATTCAGTTACAACCAGCAGACTTTTTAATGTATTTATTTCTCCTCTTTAATTTTCAAATTATTATTTTTTATTTTCAAAACAAGTTTAGCAAATAATAGAAATCCCAGTATTTCATGGGAATAATATTTTGCAAGAATGATTTTCTTTTACTTTATGTTTATTAAAGTTTTTCTCCCTTAATGAAGAGTAATAATGTACCAGACATGTTACAAAAAATCAAATCACTGGAACAAACAAAAACCAACCAACCAATCAATCAATATAAAAATCCAAGAAATGTTTTGTCCTATAGCTTGAATCTAATAGAAAATTGTCAGGAATATTTGAAGGAAAGGCAGACAGAGAGAAGATGCTATCACTTAGAGTAAAATCACAAAATTTTTAAAAATCAACCACCTAATGTTCTATCACAATTCAAAGACTTTTTACATTTAACATATTTTCCAAAGAAAGTGACGGTTTCTAACTTTGATTGTATGGTAGCTTAGACAATTTTTGTTCAAAAGATGTCATAAAATTGCTTAAAAAGCAAAACACTCCAATGTTTCAGAAGTTCCTCTTTCTGTACTAGTTTGCTCCCATAGAAAACACAAAGTCTGGAAAAAAATGTAAACATCAAGTAGCTAAAAGCATTGGAATGATCAAAAATAGGCAGAAAATAGAAGGAAGTTAATGTATGGATGAATAGAGTGGTATTTCTTGAGATTCTGGATTTAACAGATTTTTGGTTAAGGTCAGAAATTTGTGCTCCACTGATAGAAATCGACAATCTAAAATGCTTGGAAAACCAAATAGAAAGCTTAGGACTACACAGCAGGTGGAAAATTAAAGGGGATCCCTGGAAAATAGATCCACAGAGGGGACACTCCAAACTCTGTGTATATACTTTGCCCAGAAATGTGACTAATAATTGAACTATGCATGTGAACTCTACAGAAATATCAGATGCTACCTACCACAGGTGTTAGAGGTTCAGTTTGAATCTGGCCAATGTAACTGCTAATTTTTTTTTTTTAATGTACTCTTTGTCAGGGAGTATAATAGAATCCAGGAACTCTATGGCATATCTCACCATGTATAGGATACAATCCAAAATCACTAGACATACGAAGAAAAAGGAAATTTGATTCATACTTGAGAAGGAGGCAACTAATACAGATTGATTATGAAATGAAGAATTTAGGATTTTAAAGCAGTTGTTAGAATATAAAGGAAAATATCCTTATAATGAATAAACAAATTAGAAATCACAGTAGAGAAATAAAACTATGTAAAAGAACCAGATAGACCTTCTAGAATTAAAAAAAAACTTACATGAAATAAAAATTTCTACGTGGCCTTCACAGATTTACACAGGATAGAAGAAGTAGTGGACTTGAGTGAGAGCAATGTAAATTATACAGTCTGAAGAACAGAGAATGAAATAAAAGAAAAACTTCAGTGATTTGTGAGAGCATGTCAAAATGTTTAACATATATGTAATCGGAATATCAGAAATACATTTGACTAAATAATAGTGGAAAATCTTCAAATTTATTGACAAATAGAAATTTATAGATAAAAATCATACTAAATCTCAAAGAGAATTTATGTAGAGAATGAAAATAAAAAGGAAGCAACAGTAAGGGCCATCATAGACAAACTGCTAAAAGCCAAAGATAAAGAGAAAATTTTGAAAGAAGTTTAGGAAAATCGCACATTCCATGTAAGAGATTAGCAGAAAAGTTTTTTCATATCTCATTACAACAGTAGAAGCCAGGAGGCAATACAGCATCTTAAATGTGCTGAATGGAAAAGTAAACAGAAGCAGTCAATTTAGAATTCTACATATAGTTAAAATTTACTCCCATAATGAAAGTGAAAGAAATTTTAAAATAAACAAAGGCTAAGAAAATATTTGTCAGCAGACCTGCCTTTCAAATAATGATAAAGAAAATTCTTCATGTTGAAAGACAGTGCTACCAGATGAATAGTTGGATGGAAACAGGGAATTGCAGATAAGTAAGTGAGTATAGAAGCCTGTTATTTTTCCTTTTAACTTGTTTTAAATACATCTGATTGATTTTTTAAAACAAAATTATGATGCATACTGGGGTTTATTTTGTACTTAGAAATAAAATAGTGCATGGGATAGCTGTAGCATAAAGGACAGGGGAACTGTATAATGGTAAATCAATCTGTATGGTTCAAGTTCCTCTCATTTTATATAAAGTGGCACAATATTCCTAATGCCTTGGAAATATTTATAATTAAAATAGAAGATTACAGGGATTTTATTCAATTTGTTTGACTTTGCAATAGAAATGTCAGTATAAACTAAGGATTACTTTTTAAAAATATTTTGTATTCTGCTAATCTATACACAGAAAGACCTAGAAATGACAGCTCGTTGTAATAAACAGCCCTAGGGTCCAGCTTCTAGTCTCTAAGTCTTATTTCCCAAGGATTCTTTTTTCATTTGTAATCTCATTTGGTCTTTTAAGTTGTGGAAAGCACTTATGTAGTTTCAATATATAACTAGGTACCTTCAGAAATTTAATTCCATTCCAGTCCCTGTCCTTCATCTTCCGTCCCTAGCTTCCTCTACGGCTGTGCTGTTAAACATTTGTAGACAGTTGCCCTGCATAGCTATGTAAACTTGTATTAATTAAAATTAAAAATTCAGTTCCTTAATTATATTAGTCCTATCTTAAGTGGTCAGTGGCCCGTGTAGCTAGTGGTTACCATATTGTAAAATTCAGATTATATAATATTTCTATCATTACAGAAAGTGCTATTGCACAGTACTTCCTTAGGAAAGCACTAAAAATTAGTGCAAAGAGGTATAGCTCATACATAAATTTTACAATTAAAAAGCCAGAATAAGGTGGAGAGGAAAGAATAAAAGAACAGGAAATGGATGGGGAAAAAAAGAAAACAAATAGGAAAATAGTAGCTCTAAATGCATCCATATCAATAATTGCACTAAATGCAAATGAACTAAATATTCTAATTAAAATACAGATTTTCAGAGTGAATAAAAAAGGAAGATACAACTGTGTGCTGTCTTTAAGAAATTAACTTTAGAATTAAGATGGTGGATGGGAGGTAGGACTGGCTTGCAACTCCTGCTCAGACAGGCAAAACATTGTGTGGAGACTTACATCATGAACTATTGCTTCAAGAACTACCACAGGAACATGCTAGGAAAGATGACAGAATCCACAGACCCTTTGAAGGAATGGGATCACTGCTGTAGGCTCACTGAGATATGGAAAAACTGTGAGTCTGCTTGCTTTCTCAACAGAGAGGCTTGTGGTCTGGGTCAAGTTCTCAGCCCTGATCACCGGCTGCCTGGAAATAGACTTGGTGCTGTTGAGGGGCAAGGTAGGAATGAGACGGGCCTTTAGGACTGCCAGCTGCATGAGAGCATGGTGAGGCTGGTGACTGCCAGCTTTCCCTACTTCCCTGGCTATTTGTATGACTCAGGAGAGGCAGCCATAATCCCCCTGGAAATATAACTCCACTGGACTGGGAACCACTCACCCATCTCCCACAGCAGCCACAGCAAACCTTGCCCAAGGAGAGGCGGAACTCAGACACGCCTCTCTCTGCCCCCTCCTGGTCGTCTTTTTTTACCCTCCCTGGTAGCGGAAGACAAAGGTCATAATCTCTTGGGAACTCTATGGCCCTGCCCACTGCCTGAGAATCCTGAATACTTAACCAGGTGTCCCTAGGGCAAGTTTGCATCCTCCCTATAGGATCACAGCTGATGCCCTCTTGAAATTGCCACCTCCTGGCTGGAGGCCAAGCAGCACAAAACCAGCGTACTGAACAAAAACACAACCAACGCGCCTCACAGAGTTCACTCCCCTGCCACCTCCACCAGAGCAGGTACTGATATCCACAGTTGCAAGACCTGAAGATGGATCACATCAAAAGACCCTTTGCAGACACTCCCCACTAGCAGCCCAGAGCCTGGTAGCTCTGCCGGGTGGCTAGACCCAGAAGAGCAAAAACAATTACCATAGTTCAGCTCTCAGGAAGCCCATTCCTAGGGGAAGGGGAAAACACTACAAGTAGTGTTGGGATAAAAGAATCTGAATAGCAGCCCTTGAATCCCACATCTTCCCTTTGACATAGTCTACTCAAATAAGAAGGAACCAGAAAACGATTCTGGTAATGTGACAAAACACGTTTCTTTAACACCCCGAAAGATCATACCAGCTCATCAACAATGGATCCAAACCAAGACAAAATCTCTGAATTGCTAGAAAAAGAATTCAGAAGGTTGATTCCTAAGCTAATCAAGGAGCACCAGAGAAAAATGTAGTCCAACTTAAGGAAATAAAAAACATGATACAGGATATGAAAGGAAACATTTTCAGTGAAATAGAGAGCACAAATTAAGAACAATAACCTGCTCCTGAGTGATCATTGGACCAACAATGATATCAAGATGGAAATTAAAAAATTTTTGAACCAAATGATAATAGTGACACAACCTATCAAAACCTCTAGGATACAGCAAAAGCAGGGCTAAGAGGAAAGTTTATAGCATTAAATGCCTACATCAAAACACCTGAAAGAGCACAAATATACAATCCAATGTCACACCTGATGGAACTAGAGAAACAAGAATAATCCAAAACCAAACCTGGCAGGAAAAAAGAAATAATGAACACTAAGCTGAGAATCAAATAAAAAACTCAACCTGTTTTACAGTAGCTGCAAAAATAAATAAATAAATAAAATACTTAGGAATATACCTAACCAAAGACATGAAAGACCTCTACAGGGAAAACTACAAAACACTGCTGAAAGAAATCAGATAACACAAACAAATGGAAAGACATTTCATGTTCAGGGATGGGTAGAATTAATATTGTGAAAATGACTATACTACCCAAAGCAATTTACAGATTCGATGCAATTCCCATCAA